ACTACAGAGAAGACAGAGCCGGAAGAACCACGTTTTCCAATCACATCTGAAGGGCCATATCTTACGACAGGAAAGTGGACCAAAGACACAGCAGGAAATCAGGCCAGTGGTTGCTAAAGTGGGGTCGCTGGACCACTAGCACGGAGCCTCCAGGAGCTGCTGGCCGGAATCACTGGAGGCCAGTGCCTTCCTGAGCCCTGCCGAGCGTGGCTCACAGCCCGCGGTCAGACCGCACTGTAAAAGTGCCCCTTCCGCATATGCACAGCCGTGAGGCACTGCTGAGAGCTCTCTAGGGGATTTTAAAAGAAGAGGGAGACACGGAAGGACCACGCATGGATGACCCATCTCGAGGCTCAGTTCATGGGACTACAGCGCCCACTCTCAGCCCGTGTTTTAGGCATTTTCTTGGTCACCGGCGTGCGCTGTGACCGTTGGTCCCACGGCTGGGTGTGGAGATGAGGCTCGTGGGATTCCCGAGCACGGTTTTCTCAGAGGGCTTGGGGATTTGGAAACAGGACGCTGATGGCCTTTGCTAAAGTAACTTCTAGTTAAGACAGTGAATCCTTCTGTCGGTAGGCTGCATGCGGATCTGAAAATACTATCGATACCACTGCTTCTTGTGGAGGGACTATGGGAAGTTCTCTGTGATAAAGATAGATTTTGAAAAATGGTTTCTTGGCAATATTTTTAGATTAGAAATAAATTGGTGATTAAAAATAGAATGAAAGTTAAATTTCTTCAAGACACCATAACAATACCTAGCAGCAAGCTTTCTTTTCTACAGAAATCTAAAAAACAAAACCCCAGACATATGGACTTTCAGGAATTATTTAAGAGGCACTGGAAACTCCAAGCTAAAAGTAGATTTTACCAGACCCCAGGAGGAGCAGGTAGAATCAGCAATTATCTAACAAGGAGAATCAGTACGTAAAGATCCTTTATGTCCTGTCTCAGGAGCACAGATGAGTCAGTTCAGCCTGTCACCTCTGCCGCCCACGGTGGTGGTCAGGGGCGCGGCACCTGCAGTCAGGCAGGCAGACCTGCCTTTTAACCCCAGTGGTACCCTAAGCAGTTTGTTCGTGAGCTTGGGCAAGTGACTTAATTCTCTAAGCCTCAGTTTTCTCATCTGCAAAATTGGAATAATAACGATAGTACCTACCCTACCTGCGTTCTCTTATGGGCACTTGTGAGGACTAATCAAGCCAACACAGGTGAGCTTTCGCATGGCCCTATCCGGCAGAGTGAGCACCGACACATTACTGCTTATTGTTACTAGTATTTCTGCTTGTACTATAAACCAAGGATTTTCTGTAATGCTGGCATATTCAAGGACATATTCAAGGACATTCGGGAAGAGCTCTTTTTGGAGGGAATGGAGGGGAATGAAGTTTATCACTCAGGAGCATTAAACCTGTGATTTAAATTCTACCTACCCTTCAAGTCCCTCACCTGATGTTAAACCTTCCCCAAAGACTTGCTCCTGCTCCCAATTTCCCACAGCAGGTATTTCGCCAGCTCAATTTATTCTGTCCCAGATTTTCCTTTAACCTCATGTGCACAGACTCCGTCTCCCCACCAGACTGTAAATTTCTCCAGGGTTCAGTTCACGCCATACGTCTTATTTTTCTGTCTCTCAGAGTTTGACGCATAATATGCACATGGCGGGTAAATAATAAAGAATAGGAGTATGCGTACGTGCAGGTCACTATTAGCTCTTTTCTCCCTCTTCCTCCTCCAATAACAGCAATCTTAACAATTAACAAAAGCTTCTGGTCACCGAGAGCTTCCTGTGCCCGGCACTGAATGGAGGATGTTGAACGCCTCGCCTCCCCGACCTGGACAGCACCCGTGGACGCGTACTCTGGGCGGCTGCCGAGAGAACCATGAGAGGACGGTGGGACCTGAGGCTGCTCTGCGGCCCTGGTGACGCTCCCAGCCACGCCCAGGACGCTCTGAGCAAGGTGCGGCGAACTCCAGGTCCTCGGACAGGAGACACCAACCTCCATCCCTTTTCTCCCCAGCACGATGCAATTGATGGTTTCAGTGCTCCTATTATCAACGATTCCCCAAATTGGAGGTTTTCTGAGCTTTTGAAGTAGAGATTCTTAAGGAGAGGGGCTCGTACCCTGAAAGGGGGTTCACGGTTTGAAAAACTCCCTCCAGGTGTTTCTGATATGTCTTCAAAGGATGACCATAACCCACAGTAAGAAATAAATATCATGCTGCAGATCAGGTATATATCTGGAATATTTTCATGAAGCAACGCTTAACGTTCGTGAGCGGCTTTCTGACGTTTTTCTGTTCTACTTAATTCTTTCATTAAAAATGATGGCTGGGAGAATGGGGGGGAATCGGAACACGTATACATAGCTAGTGGACATGTAAAATGGTTCAGTCTCTTTGGAAAACAGTTTGACAGTTCCTCAAAATCTTAAACACAGAGTTACCAAATGATCTAGAAATTCCGTCCCTAGGTATGTGTCCCAGAGAAACGAAAACATACATCCATATTAAAAACTTGACATGAATGTTCGTAGCAGCATTATTCGTTGTAACCAAAGATGGCAACAACCAAGTGTCTATCACTGAAGAATGAATAAGCAAAATGCAATACATCCATACAGTGGGATGTTACCCAGTCATACAAGGAGCAAAGTACCGACAGGCGCTATGGCAGGATGGCCTTGAGAACCTTACGCTAAGTGAAAGGAGCCAGCTACGAAAGACCACAGTGCGTGATTTCGTTTACGTGAATTGTCCGGAACAGCAAATCTACAGAGACACAAAGTCAACCTGTGACTGCCTAGGGTGGGCCAAGGAGGAGTGGGGCCGGAGTTTCTTTTGGGGGTGACGAGATGTTCTAGAACTGGAACGTGCTAATGGTTGCAAAGCCCTGCGAATGTGCAAAACCCCACTGAGTCGTGCGCTTTAAAGGGGCACGTACGTGGTATATGGATCATATCTCAGCACGACCGACCGAACGTGACGGCTGTGACGAACGAATCGATTTCGCAGCCTGCACAGGCCACCACACAGCTGAGAACTGCCTCCCCACAGCGCGCTGCCGCCGCCCGGCCTCTCCATGACAGTTGCCGCCTGACCCGGGGGAGCCGCAGCGCTGGGTGGGCGATGGACAGGCAGGCGGGGGCCGTGGCGGGAGGGACGAAGGCCGTCTGCGGCACATGTCTTTCGCCCGTCCACAATCTCGACTGCGTTTGCAGCAGCACGGGTCCTGCTAAGAGACTGCATTTCTCAGCCTTCCTCACAGCCGCGGTGGCCGCAGAGAACGGAGCCCTCGGAGAGATTTCTGGGGAAGTTTTTCCTTCCAATTCTTTTAATTATGTTAAAATACATATAACATAAAAATTACCGTCTTAGCCATTTTTAAGTGCGCAGTTCAGGCGCTGTTAAATACATTCGTGGAGCTGTGCACCCTCACTGGCAGCGTCTCCGGGACTCCCTTCATCCTACAAACTGCACCCACGGAGCAGCAACTGCCCGCTCCCCGCGCCCAGCCCCTGGCAGCCACCACCCCACCGTCTGCCTCTAGGACTTCGACTGTTCTAAGTTCCTCAAAGACGTGGAATAACAGTGTTTGTCCGTCTGCTGCTTTCGCTTGGCATGATGTCTTCAAGGGTCATCTATACTATGGCACGTTGCAGAATTTCTTTCCTTTTTAAGGCTGAATAATATTCCATTTTGTGTGTGTGTGTGTGTGTGTGTGTGTGTGTGTATGTGTATATATACACACATACACACATACATGTTTTGTTTATTTGTGTATATATACACACACATACACCATGTTTTGTTTATTTGTGTATATACACACACACACACATCATGTTTTGTGTATACACACACACACACACACACACACACACACACGTTTTGTTTATTCGCTCATCTGCTGATGGGCACTTGGGTTGTTTCCACATTCTGGCTATTGTGAATAACGCTGCTATGAACAGGGATGTACAAACATCTCTTTGAGACTCTGACCACAATCCTTTTGGATATATACTCAGAAGTGGAATTGCTGGATCGTATGGTGATTCCATTTTTAATTTTTTGAGGAACCTCCATACCATTACCCACAGCAGCTGCACCATTTTGCATCCTCACCAGCAGGGCACAAGGGTTCCAGTGTCTCCACAAACTCACCGACATTTGTTATTTTCTTCCTTTTCTTTCTTTCATTGTTTTTTTTTTTCTTTTTTTTTCGGTGACAGAGACTTGCTCTGTCACTGGGCTGGAGTGCAGTGGCTTCATCATAGCTCACTACAGCCTCAAACTCCTGGGCTCAAGTAATCCTCCTGCCTCAGCCTCCTGAGTAGCTGGGACTACAGGCACACGCCACCACACCAGGCTAATTTTCTATTTTTAGTAGAGACGGGCTCTTGCTATGTTGCCCAGGCTGGTCTTGAGCTCTGGGCCTCAAGCGATCCTCCTGCCTCGGCCTCACTGGGATTATGGGTGTGAGCTACCACACCCGGCCTTAACACTTGTCATTTTCTGTTATTTGAGAGTAGCCATCCTAAAGGGTGTGTCTGGGAGAGACTTTCAGGAGTAAAGAGACTGACTCAGACCCTTTGCCCCTTTCTTCTCTTCCTCCCCCAAATTCAAACTCAAGGGACCAGACTCCAGAAGCCACCTCGTGACCCTGGGGAGGAACCAGCTCCAGGGCAGGGGAAGAAAGGAGAGAGGAGACTGAGTCCCTGACACTTTCTTGAAACCACCTCTGCTGTCTGCCCCTGGACTTCTTCTCTGTGACCGAATAAATCCCTAATTTGCTTACACCACTAAGACGAGTCTCTGGTATTAGCAGCCAAAGCGACGATCCGCCATCTAAGTGAACAAACGCCCTCCACTGCACAAGAGCTGCAGCCAGACCCTTCAGGAACGAGCAGCTCCTCTCCCGCCGGGCCTTTCCACCCCCCTTGCCTTCTGGAAGGGCTTCTCCCCACTTCCATCTCCAAAGGGAAAGGAGGAGCACATACCTTGTGATCTTAAATATGCGCAGCAGCCGGACGCACCTCAGCACGGAGATGCCCAAGGGAGACATGACCTTGGTCTCCACCAGGATGGTCTCCAGGATGCCCCCGCACACGATGAAGCAGTCGAAGCGGTTGAAGAGCGACACGAAGTAGGCCTGCAGGCCCAGGCTGTACATCTTCAGCAGCATCTCCGCGGTGAACAGGGCCAGCAAGGCCTTGTTGGCTGTGTCTGGAGGCCCGGGGGGAGGGCAGGGAGGAGGAGGGGAAAGAAAACAGCAATTATCACCCTGGAAAAGATGACCCGACACCCACTCCCACCGCGCGACACCACTCCTGTCCACTCTGGCCGGAGCAGGACGATCGATCGGGGCCAAGCCAGCGGGAAGGGGCTATCCCGTCATAAAGCGACAGACGTTTATCAGAGGCTTGGCATGCGTTATCTTCTCTACTCCTCGCAGCAGCCTGTGAGGCTGGCACTGTTATCATCATGCGTGTTTTTCAGAGATGAGAGCGAGGTTCAGAGAGGTGAGTGATCTGCCCAAGCCAAGACCTGGGAGTGGAAGATGGGCCATCTGACCCCAACCTCTTCCCCACTGGCCTCGCTGCCTGCCAGGACCCAGAACGGGAGTCTGCTGGACTCCCAGGGGTGATGCCGAGCCCCGGCTAGTGGGGCCTCTTCTAGGGTCCAGGGAAGGGTGAGGAGCATTAACAGCCCACTCAGGACACTTGTGCTCGGGCTACCGTTGGCGTCTTCCTGGCCTTTTTGTTCGTGTCATCCTTGCCTGTTCTGCTTGAGGCTCCCTGGAGGCTGTAGGAAGGCCGGGGGTATTTAGAATCCACTCTGGGAATCTGGCAGCCGAGGGTCTGAGAGAGCCAAACAAGCTGCAGCTTGTGTCCTTGTCACCTGGACCCAACAGTGACTGTGGGGCAGGCAGATGGCGTGGGCCCGGCTGGGTTAGCCACGCTTATTTCTAACGAGGTTCTGTATTTTACTGGGAGGCTTGGGAGCTGCCAGGCCCTTGGCGTCTCCAGCATGGTGCCTGCCAAGAGCCATGGCCACTGGCCACGTTCCCATCGACCTTCTGCCTGTGCTCGTCCCCTCCCAGGACTCAGGACGGAGTTAGCAGGAGGAAAGCGGGACAGAGCCGGGCCACCGCTCACCCTGGACTTCCGTGAGCCAGTGGGGCTGGTTGTAGTGCTCGGAGGCAATGGTGAGCGTGTTCAGGAAGACTAGGAAAATCACCAGCCAGTAGAAGACGTTGGACTTGACTGCGGCGCGGCACTTTCTCCTGCAGAACCGATTCCATCGGCGCCAGTACCGGCTGGAAAGAAAGCACGGGGTTAGCTGTGAATTCAGATTTCTTCCAGTCGGAGACATGCCACTGTGGTTCTCTTCAACCCAACTGACCTGGCCTTACCGGAGCAGCACAACGTGGTAGCAAGAAGCTGGCTTCCCACCCGGCTGCCCAGCCCACACCACTTGGCTGTGCGGCCTTGGGGATGTCCCTGAACTCCTCTAAGCTGCGGCTCTCTCATCTGTGACATGGCGTTAGGGCCCGCCTCACGGGACTGTTGTGGGGATTGATCAAACACCTCATCATGTATCTGGCTGCACTGAAGTTGAAGGTGCTTGATAAACGGAAACGTTTGTATTTTCTAATAACTGTATTATTAGAAAAGTATTGCAAGTATCAAGAGCATTATTAATAGCAGTGGTGGTGCCTGGGACCGTTTAGGCACTTCTCACGCCTTCTGCCCATTCTTTAACTCCGCAAAGCAAGTTATATTATCCTGACCTTGTAGAGGGGAAGACTGAGGGCTGTGGTGGGTGAGTGCCTTGGCCAGTGTCACAGAGTGGCAGGGCCAGGCGTGCTTTCTGCCCAGCCCAGCCGCCTGCCCTACTCCAAGATGCCTCGTCCATGCAGTGGAGGGCCGTCTGGAGCAGAGGCTCTCAGCTCTTATGAGGTCATGGATCCTTTGCGAGTCTGATGAACGTGCAGCTCCTCTGCTCAGAGAGCAGGCATGGCCCCCACACACCCTTCCGTGCAAGTTGTGCAGCACACAGGCCCCGACGCTCGCCGTGGCCGTGGGGTGTTCCCGCCGTCACTGGCTAGGACTGCTGCCAGCGACTTTCAGGCCCGGCCATGCCCAGGCTTACCCAGGGAACCTCTGAAACCCTCTGAACAACCCCACCAGTCTCCAGGCCCCAACACCAAACCAACTAAATCTGATTCTCTAGGGGAGAATACCCCGCAAATACCCGCAAATACCACTGGCATTTTGGAAAGTTCCCTGGTGGCTCTAATGTGTAACTATGGCTGAGAACCATTAGCTAGAAGATCCCAAAGAAACACTTACACTTCATGATTCTATGGTGGAGGGGTTTACAGTTTGTCCCTAATTTCACCCTCTCGACACAGAGAAAATATTCGGCTATATTTGGTAACTCAGGAGACAACGTATTTAATAAATGCCTACGCCGCGCACGGAGGAGGGAGGGAAGGGGTGGCTTCAGAGGAGCTGGAGGGGACGGAAAAGAGCCCTGCGGAGGGCACGGGGGAGGGGAGGGCGCTGAACTTCAGAAACCAAACAACCCGCAGAAACAGCCCATCTGTCACCCTGCAGACCAGGGCTGGGGTGCTGCACGGGTTGGAGGTGACCAAGGCAGTCGCTTGACCACTGGCAAAGAGGACCCTGCTTTGGCAGCAGTTCCGGAGGCAGAATCAGTGGGACTCTGAGATGAACGGCTGTGCAGGGTGAGGGAGAGGCACAGGGGGCACTGCCCGGACATCTAGCCGGGTGGTCTGGCAGGGCGGCACCCTCAAACAACACGGGCTGGAGGAGGGGAGAGGCGCTCCGGGCAGGGCGGGCTGCACAGCTCTGCACAGATGGACCCAGCAGGCACTGAAGACAGAGCCCTTGCTTGGGGGGCGAAGATGGCAGGAGGAGAAACAAAGCAGATCTTAGAGCAGTCATCCACAAGTATTTGTACTTTTCCATAAAATGATCTCCTTTCTATGAACCTCCCTCGTCTAGACAGACATTCCTCTAAACAAGCAAGCAGGGTCTGCCTCGGAGCAGAGAGCGTCACACCGCACACCGCAGCCCACTAGTGGGTCACGAGATCTGCCCAGGAGACCACGCCTGGCACTGAAAACAGGAATAGAACGGAAAACATCACAGCGCATACCGTATCGCGAGAAAGCTGTGTTTTAAATAAACTGTAAGGAAAAGTATTTAAAATAAAACTTTGCTTCAGGTGTGTGTGTGGTGTGTGCTGAGTCGTGGCGTGAACGGTGGCCTTCGACTGCGCCCTAACGCAGAGCCCACGGCCTGAGTGCGCCTCTCCCACCTACTGGCCGGGAGGGTCCGAGAGCCCTCAGTCCGTCGCTCCGCGGGCTGCGCTGGCTGAGCAGCACATGCCACTCACAGGAAAAGGCCGCTCTGTGCACGGCGTGTTCCTTCTCGGCCCCTGGGTCACGCGACACCGTCCCCGGGTGTGCCCTCCTAGGGCACAGGGCCAGCTGTGTATATTTCACACTCCGCCCCTCAGTGTTAGTCCTCTACTTCCAGAGTGGAAGTCCCTCCAAACACAAATTCCAGCATGCCAGGGACAACGAGTTTCCCAACGCTCCAAGGATGGGGACCTCTGCTGTATGGACCCCTCCACCGACCCCCCAAATTGCCTTCCGGGGTAACTTGACTGAATTTGCATTTCTACTCTGTCATTTTCCTACCTATGATCTGCGGCGGAAATCCTGTTACCAAACCTTCGCCAAAATCTGTGATGAGATTAGGAGAGTGAGGAGTAATCTAAGAGGGGGACTCTTTCCTGAGAACTGGAGGGAAAACTCAGTTCTTGGCCTGCAGAGCAGGGAGGGAAGAAGGGATTCATCTGGGTAGCGTTCTGATCTGACCCCTCCATCACCGGGGGCTCAAAGGCCCTCTCCGGTGAGCGCCAACCTTGCCGGGGACATGCACCCGCTACCTGGGGGAAATTCACTACCTAGAGAGGAAAGGCCGCCAGGTTGCCAGACGCACCACCCTGGGTATGAGTGAGGAGAGGGAGGTGGAGAGAGGGACAGTGGGATGGGACAGAGAGTCCCGGGTGGTCCTCAGTGAGAGGCAACCCCAGGAGCTGAGCGGATCTTGATGCTCAGCAAGCTTACCTTGCCAGGGCTGCTGCTTTCCGTGATTGTGATTATTAATATGGTAAGGTCGTTTTTTTCCCTAAGAAAATGAATTTTCAGGACAAGCTCATACCTGATCTTAAATAGCTTACATTGTAGTTATAAATAATACTTTTAAAATAGATATAATCTCAAGTTACAGAAATCACTGAAAATTGTCACTCAGAGTCCAAAGCAACCAAAGTTGCCCTCTCTCGTGGTACGTACGAGCTGACTTGGAGCGAGTTTGAGACCAAGAACTCGGTTAAGCCCCTCGTCCCGTGTAGACGCTGGTGCTGCGTGGCCAGGCCCGTCGCGTGGGTCTGCAGCCGCTCTGCACAAACCCCGTGGCTGGAGCGACGGAGGGGACGGCAGCCCTGTACGGTGCGCTGCGCCTGCGCACAGCCACGCGGGGCTCACTGGATCTGGGCTGGGGGGTAATTGCTCTCCAGAGAAAGTATTTAAAGATAATTATACACCTCCCACTCTTCAAAATATAGCTTTGCTTGACAACTGGTTTCCTGGCAACACTTCCTACTGTATAATAAGTGTAATGGTTTATTAGAATGTGTAAATTTATTTGTGTTTACATATGCATGGAGGATATAGAAATTAAATGATAAAACAGGGAGGAGAAATTTGCCTGCTATTCATGTTCCCTTTGCACTAACTGGAAGTCATTTACTCTAGAAATAAAACCTTCCATACGCAGATGGAGGAGAGAGGGATGGATCTGAATGTGTCTCATCTACTTCCCTAAACTTCCACATCCCCGCACTCCCGTGGGAATCTCTGCCCTGGCACCCCAGCTCTGCCTAACCTTCTCCCAACTCTGGGCCTTGCTCTCGCCTCTCCAGCTCACGGAACGTCCTCCCAGCCGTCTGCCTCCGTCCCCTCTGTCCTGCCCTCCTACGAGGCTCACACTGACGACCTTTGCTAGCCTTGCCCGCCTCGGCACTCCTGCAGCGCCTACGGTCCGCATTACTCACTGTAGTCACACGCTCAAGATGTATTCACTAAACACCAACCACAGGCTGTTCAACAGTTAACACTGCAGACACAAGCCTCGTCTGCACAAAGCCTGCACGGAGACACAGACCACTCAGCGTGTGGTCACAGCAGGGGGTGCTACGTGCACAGGTGCACAGAAGGACATCTTAGCCGGGAAAGGGTCCCCAGAGGAAATGACTTACCGTCCCCTTGTACTCAGTTATCTTTTATTTGTATGGGTCCTGCCTGTCCAACGACGAGGCCCCTGAGGGGAAGGGGCTGTGCCTTTCACTCTGTTACGGACCGCGGTACTCGGCACAGCCAACCCGCTCAGAACCCTGGGCTGACGCAGAGACGGACTCTATGCAGATTTACGAACTCCCCGTGGAAGACGAGGCCTGACGTTGCCGAGCTCTCGCAACCCGGGGCTGGGGATGCGGGTGAGGAGAGGGCAGAGCTCCCGGGACGGCTGGCTCGGCGCAAGTGCGGACAGGCGTCTCAAGGAGCAGACAGTACGGACGTGACGGACACTGCAGGCCCTTTCTAGTGGCCAGAGTGACTTCCCAGCTTTTCTTTCACAGAGCCGAGAACAAATGACACTGAACATCATTAAATTTCATTCTTTCATAAATAACTTAAAAATGGCTGGCCGGGCGCGGTGGCTCACGCCTGTAATCCTAGCTCTCTGGGAGGCCAAGGCGGGCGGATTGTTTGAGCTCAGGAGTTAGAAACCAGCCTGAGCAAGAGTGAGACCCCGTCTCTACTAAAAATAGAAAGAAATTAATCGGACAAGTAAAAATATATAGAAAAAATTAGCTGGGCATGGTGGTGCATGCCTGTAGTCCCAGCTACTCGGGAGGCTGATGCAGGAGGATCGCTTGAGCCCAGGAGTTTGAGGTTGCTGTGAGCTAGGATGATGCCACGGTACTCTAGCCAGGGCAACACAGTGAGACTCTGTCCCAAAAAAAAAAAAAAAAAAGGCCTATTGGAGACTTGGGGCCGGTTTGGATTTGTGGCGCATTGCCGATTGGAAGCACACTTCATTGAGGGCTGGGCAAGCCCAGTGTCAGAGCCTTGCCAGGGTCATTTCAGAACTCCATGAAGTTGAGATTCAGAAACTCTACTAGGTCATCCACTTAATCCCTTCAGGTTGCAAAAGACTTTCTGAATCTTTTTTCCGTAACTGTTTACATGCTATTTTGAGCAGTGAGCTCCAAATGTTGCCAATTCCTTATTTTAACTAATTCCTCTAACTAGAGACCTGGATTACCAAGAGAATACCCAAGTATTGCCATAATGAGCCAATTAATTTGGTGAATTTTCTGTAAAAGCTCCATTCTAATATTTGCTTTAAATAAACTGTGATTTTGTATCATTCAGTCCTGCAAATCGAATAGATCACTTTCAAGCTTAAATTCTGTTGTCATTATTAAACCGTTTCATCTCAGAAAATGATTAGAAACACTTCGATAATTTCAGTGGCATTTTCAATCCATTGCCAGCCTTTGAGAATCCCTCAACACACACCAGCAGTGGACTATAGAATCCAGGCTGGATGGCTGCTGTCTGCTATCTGCTCAGAATCTCTAGGGCGACACTGTCCCATGTGGCAGCCACTAGCAACATGTGGCTACTGTCCACAGGATTGCGGTCAACCCAAACCAAGATGTGCAGTAAGTATAACATGACCCTGGATTTCAAAGACTTTGTACAAAAACATGAATGTAAAATAGCTCCTTAGTAATTTTTATATTAATTACATATTGAAATAATATTTTAGAGACACTGGTTTAAATAAAAGATGTTAAGATTAATTCCTCCTGTTTCTTTGTACTTTTTAAACACGGTCACGAGAACATTTTAAAAAGTACGTGTGTGGCTCGCGTTGTATTTCTGTTCGACAGCACGCGCTAGAGTCACCACCGTGCGCCCGACACGCGCCGGCCCTGCAGGAACAGGAGCCAGCGTGCTGGGGCAGAACCTCGCCACGAGGTGGTAGCGGGCCCTGGTAGGGGTCCTGACTCGGCCACACACAAGCCCTGTGACCCTGGGCCTCTCTAAGCCTCAGGATCCTCATCTGAAAATGGGTTTAAATGATGGAGCTGACCTACTAGTGAGAGAAAGCTGTCGGGGAGTGGTACAAGGTCTGCTCCCCCTCCCCCGTTTCCGCTACGTCCTGGGTGGCGGCTGAAGGAGGAGAGACCCTTCCCAGAGGTCAGTGCACAGCAGGGTGGGCACAGTCTCCGAGCCGGGAGAGATGCCCGAATGCCTCTGAGGCCGCAGACAGGCCTCAGGAACAGGCTTATGAGCCAACAGTTAAAATGCAACGGAACTGGACCAGCGCTGCGACAGAGGTGCCAGCAACGCCCCTGGGGCTGGGGGAGGTGAGCAGACCCCCTGGGAGTCTTCAGAAGGTGTCACAGACCAGTAACATGTGCGATTCCTGACAAAAGTCTGGGTTCCCGACGACATGGGCACGTGTGATTCAGGCGGAGGAAAGGCTCCGCGCCGAGGCCTCCCTACGTACGGGGACGGGAACGTCTGGGTAACTGCAAGCGGTTCCCTGTAGCGGGAACGAAGGGTCTTTGCAGGGGGTGCAGCAGGTGAGGCTGGGGGCAGATGGGGACTGAAGACCAAGGGTCCTCCGGAAGGTTCTGACATTGTCACCGAACAGTGACACAGACGGGTGTCATAATCCTACGTGTTCTCCATCATCCTTGAAGTTCATATCTCACCATGTTCTACAGACATGAAGTAGGTCAAGATAGCCACAAAGGTTCACTTCATATTTATTTTAACTGGACTTCATCTTAAAGGGAGGAAGACACATTTGGTCTGACAACCTTCTAGGGACGGCACTGCCCGAAGGACTGGCAGTCCGGGATAATTCAACCAACGTCTACCCCTGAATTACTTTCTGGTCTGATTCATACACTTCTTCCTGACTGGTGCACAGAAAGAAGCAGTTGCCCCCGCCTGAGGGCGAGGACAGAGCTGTGGGCAGGAGGGGATGAGGGAGGTCGCATCGCACTCACCTGAACTTCGATTTGGAGATCCGGTGGCTGAAAGAGAAAAAGGACACATTACAAAAGGACACATTACCAAAGGACACACACGCGCTTTCATCTGTGTGAAGCTGTCAGCAATCCAGGGAAGTTTGGTGTTCCCCAGGTAGCCGCATATCAGCACGGGAAGGGTGCGTGGCGTGAGTCAGAACAACCTGGGAGGAGAGAACACTACTTGTGCGTTTAGATGCGGAGCCTGAGGTCTGGCCCAGCTGACGTGCACCCACCTAGCATCTTCTAAGTACAGACAATCCTCACTGGAGGGGCAGCACCGTGTCCTCAGACCACCAGGGTCTGCCCCGCAAGGTCTGTGAGGTCAGGCTGGGAAGAGGAGCACCCTGAGAAAGGCCACAGAGGAAGGGAAGGCCGCTCCTGAAGGCAGGAGGACCCCACTGCAGAGAGGCAGGAACACGTGGGCACAGGCCTCACGGCTGTCTGCGGGAGCCCGGCCACAGCGGGCTTATGCACGACATGGGCAGAAAGAGCCGGCTGGAAAGGGAGCGGACGCTGCAGCTGCAGGCGGCCTGGGGAATCAGCTGTGGCCTCCAAAGAGAAGCCCACATACGGCCCGAAGGCCTGGAGGTGTCTGGGCAGAAGCACAGGGCAACCGTGATGGCGGCCGCCTGGAAGGGTCATCGAATGGGGACAGGAGGTTCCACTGAAAGGCGGGACCTTCGGGGAGGTCCTGGGACTACCTAGTTCATCAGGAAGGAGTCCAGGGGAGGCTGGGAGCAGCGGGCGGGAGACCGTAACGGGAAGCGTGCGCGAGAGGGACAGGGAATGGGAGAGCGGAGAGGATGCCAGCACTGACACAGAGGCCGGAAGGCGCACGCCAGCTCGGCTCCCGTGCTGGGACGAGGGAGCAGGCCCTGGAGGGTGCAGGCGGCGATGACGCCTAGCTGGACAAGCAGGGGGCAGAGCAGGAGTCAGAGACGAAGGAGGGAACGGAGACGGCAGCAGGGAGATGAGGAGAGC